TACTGCTTCCTCGATATTGGATTAGACTGCACCATGAATGGAGAGACTGCTATTTCCATCCGGATGATGCTCCTTCACCTGTGGAAGGACGGCTGAGCGACTACCTGTTTGGTGATCGCTATACAAGGTTCTTCGACTCGAATGGCCCGTCGATGATTGACACTGGGCATCAGAATGATTGGGCAGACATCGAACTGCCTGACGGCACTGTCAAGAGGTGCGATGAACCTCGTGCATCTACTGGTCATAAGTGGATTGGATACACACTGTTCGTTCCTCTTGATCGACCGAAAGCAGGTGAGAATGAGCAGGAGACTGAAGACAAGAATGCGGTGAAGCCAAAAGGAGTGAAGATTCCGAATGAGCCCTCGGAGAATGAACGAAGATTGCATGAATTGACGCATCTTCCCTATCGCGACTGGTGCGAACACTGTGTGCGATCGAAAGGGAGACAGAATCATGCAGTGATGAAGAATGACAGACAACCTGTTACTCAGATTGATTTCTCATTTTTGTCGACGGAGAATGATCTTCCGAAGCGGATGATCTTGAGTGCAACCGACGCACAGACTCGCTATTCAATGGCTGTCGTGTTGCCTGCGAAGGGCAGCATTGAAAAATATGCTGTTGGTGAACTGCCTCGATTTGTGTTTGAGATTGGACGCACCTTCGGGATTGTCCAATATGATAAGGAGAATGCACTGAAGGTGATCGCCAAGGACCTTTGCAAGACGATTGGTGGACTGTCGACGCGAGCAGCACCGACTGGACACTCCCAGAGTCGAGGAAGTGTCGGGAATGCGCAAAGGACCTTGTGTGGTCAACTGCGGACACTGATGTCGCAAGTTCAAGAGTCGACTGGCTTGAAGTTGACATCAGAGTCTCCAATGTTCACTTGGTGCGGCTCATCAATCGTTACTTGATTGGATTTGACGGGAAGACTACTTACAGCAGAAGGTGGTCTCGTAAATACGGTGGGTCACCAAACATGATGGATTGACACTAAACTGTTTCTGCCTATCAGCAAGAGAGTGAAGATTCCTAAAGGAGGATCTCAATGGTTCTCTGGAGTGTACCTTGGCAAGGACACTGACGGACACTGAGGCAGATGAAGTCATCCTTGCAAATGCGAATGGAGTCTTCAAGGTTCGCACTGTAAAGAGGAAACCGCCTCTCTCAGCAATGGAATGCTGTTGGAGCGTCGAAAATTTTGTCAGTGCAATGGCAACCCAAAGGTGATGGAGTTGACTCGACTGCGTTCGTAATGCTTCCTGATCTTGGAGTGAAAGGCAGAGTGAAGCCTCCTCCTCCTGGACTGTCACGCGTCGAGGAAGAAGAGAATGAGGAGAATGAACAGCTCGAGGATACGGTGCCTGACATGCAAAGCAGCAGTCTCATTGTCACCAGTGGAGGTGTCGAGGCAAACAGGTTGTCTTCTTCATTCTTCTCAACATTCTGGAAACAACCTCTCACAACCGCTCTGCACCTCAGGTCAATCTCATTCTTCCAAACTTTGACCCATCTGCAGTCGAGAGCCTCATTGACCTGCTCCTCAGTGCAGTCTTTCACCATCACTTCATCATACACATCAAACTCCTTCATTGAGTTCATCTCCTTCATCATTCCTTTCTTCTCAGCTTCAGGAGGGAACTCACTCTTTTAGAGCAGTGGCTCTGCGAGTCTCATTTCCTGCTCAAGCTCTCCTTCCTCAGTATTCACCTCGACATCAATCTTGGTTCCGTCTTTGCCAACAACCTCATCAACTCCAACAATCGAAGCAGAGATCCTCATTCGCTTGCTCGCAGGTTCAGTTGCTAGAGCATCTGGCTCAAGCCTTGCTTTCTTTGGTGCTTTCTCTCCAGGATCTGGAGAGTCTCGGCAGGTGTTCGATCAGAGCCGTCATGGTCCAATATGTCTTGAACAGCCAGGCTTTCACTGGCTCGCAACTGGGGAATTGCCCTACTGCGCTCTTGCCTGCTGCAATGTCCGGTGAAGTGTTCGTCTGGCCACCAAAGGAATTTTAACCTAATGGTGACTGTCTCTGGCGATTGAAGAAGGCGATTTACGGATTGAGACAGGCTCCAAAACTGTGGCAGAAACACTGCGCTGAGGTAATGGCCATGAATCTGGAAGGCTGTATGTGTTGGCATATGTTGATGATCTGTTGGTCGTAGGGACTGACGAAATGCGCAAGGACTTTATGTCCAGACTGTCAGAAGAAGTGCTGCTCAAAGAGACTGGCCAGCTTGTGCCAGGGACTGAGCACACCTTTCTTGGAAGGAGATTGCGACACAACGGTGATTCGATTGATGTTTGCATGTCTCAGACTTACATTGATTCTACTCTGGATCTGTATGGAATGCAGAATGCCAAGCCAGTAGCAACGACTGGCTCTGTAACGATTGCCAAGACTGTTTCGGACACACCTTTGAGTCCTGAGGAACACTCGTTGTACAGGACTGCAGTTGGTAAACTGCTTTGGTTGGCACTGATCAGAGGTGACATTGCTTATGCGACAAAAGAACTGAGTCGGGATGTGACTGCATTTGTTGAGATACCTGATTGGTACCAAAATGTGTGTTTTGAGACTGCGTCCATCTTATCAGTTGTCTGATGGCAACTGTTCGTTAAAGGTCTATGTGTATTCTGACTGGGCTGGTTGTTCGAAGACAAGGAAGTCAACCAGCGGATCCACTGTGAATGTCCTTGGGTGAAATATGGTCAGCACTGCTAGGACCTACTAGGACACAAGGTACATTGGCATTGTCTTCCGGTGAAGCGGAATTGTGTGCGATTGGCCAAGGAGTGTCTGAGGCACTGCATGTTCCTTCGGTCGATGTTGCTTGAAGCAAGACTGGCAAAGAAAGTCAGTGTGATTGCCCACACCGACTTTACTGCTGGCATGGCACTGAAAAGAAAACGAAGCACGTGGAACTGAGGTTCCTTTATGTGCAGAATTTGGTGCAAATGG